TCTGGCACATTGCTGTAGTCGCTGCACTGCATGCATAATGTCCTCAGAAGCGGCGCAGGCAAAGTGAAGGCTTCAACATATTTCTTCGTATTCCTGTGCACAAGGCATTGATATCCTTACTACCACATGTACATGTACTCAACTCTGTCTTTGGGGGAGCAACGCTACAGCCACCTCCTCAGGCAGGCATCAAAGCTTGTTTTCTTGTGTTTCTTTCTCTGCTCCTGGTTTGAATCATGTCCTTCTTTGCTCTGTGTGTGCCACCATCATTTGACTTGGATTTTTATCGTCATACATGCAATGCTGGCACACACTCTGTCAACACAACCAAAAACAATCTGAGCTTTACAATAGGATGTGTAGAAGAATGTCGAGGACCTGCTCTGTGAGGAGGTCAGTCAGCTTGAGGCTGCAACTCCTAGGTACTTATACAGATGACAACATTTCAGTTCCTCATTTTTTAATTAATGTGCTCAGAGTTAATGACTGATACATTCAGAAAGTTGCTTGGTGAAGTTTTACAATGGCTATAAATAAATAAGGAAGTCTGAATTGGGATTAATTCTAGAAGATGCAATAGAATCTAAAAATTAGTACAGTCTTTCTTGGATAATGTGAACGACAGGATAACCAGTCAGTAACTAGAAATGATTAACTAAAAGTGCTGGTGCTTCTTTTTGTTTCTTCTCTGCATTGATATGTCTCTTTGATTATTTATTTCGTAGTAAATTTCATTCTGCTACTTTTTAACTTTGTGCTGACAAAACCTAAATTATATATAAATAAACAAACATTTGAATAACACAGTGTTTCTTGGTCCTGCATATTTTATTTCATTTCCAAACATCTAACTTAAGTGAATTGGTGATTAAAAGGCCAATTATCCAATGAAAAACATAGTAAATAGCAGAATATTAGAGTGGGGTCACAATGTCAGGAGCAGTTTTAAGGATGTGATTCATAGAAGGTCTGCACATCACTGATTATTGTCCCAGGGGCAAATGGGTAAAGCCTTATTATCACATGTAAAAGGCAGCAGTGGTAAAAATCATGCACCATAAACAGAACATGCAGATATTTTTCATTCTTACAGGTATATTCATTTAAATGAACATGCATGCTGCATTACGTCCCGGTCGAGTTGCCGTAGAGATTTAAAGGGCAGTGTTTAACATCGCATGGTATTTATTGGTATGCAGACGAGCCTTTGAAAAAAGCTCTTCCTCCCATACGCAGATTTATTATTCACACCAGACAGACATTTTCTCCTTGACTGTAAATGCATCACATTTTAAATCAGTTAGATGAAAGCATCTGTTTTGAGTGCTTATTACTTGCTCCAGCAAAAGACAGTCCTTGTGCTGGTAATGACTGCACTCTACAGCACGGGCAAGGCATTCCTCGATGATTTGAATGCATAATTAGCATAATAAATACCTCTGTCATATTCGAAGACTTGCTCCATGAGGAAATCACTGCAGAGAGCAAATCAACACTTTCCCTTCCTCAGAAGAACCGACAGTAATGTGGATATAATTTCGTATTCATGACATAAATAAATGCATGTGACATACACTTATCCATACTGTTTCACAGTGTGGACTCCCTTTGTGCCGTAGCCACCAGGAAAGAATTCGTAGCAAAGCTCCAGCTGTATAGAATATATAATCTGCTACCCCATAGCTTTGTATTCAGCCATGCCCAAGTGGGAAACAACATGTCATTATTACGGACCGATACTCGCTGCGCAAGCTGACAGCCGCATGTAGATCTGCACTGTTGCATGTGCATTGTAAACAAGCTATGAATACAATTTTCCACTATAGCAAAACTACATTGCAAAACTGTCTAGCGAGGTATAAAATGGAAATGTCTTATTTTCCATTCCAGGACAGTAGGAAATGCTTCTTCATTTCAGCTGAGGAGAGAGGTTTGGAGGCTTTGCTCATGCTGGTCATTGGAACATGGTGACATTGAGGATAAAGATGATGACTCGCCACATAAATGGCCTCCACATGTAATTATAGCTTTAATGGCCATGACGTCATTGTCTTTCCTTTTATCATAAACCCATAATGTGCCCCAGGACTTAAATTGTTACAAATGTATTTCCATTTTAATAGTTTGAGTTTTTCTTCTCTATGGTTAAAAAGAAAGTCTGAACGACGGAAAGGTTGCACTGTTCTTTTTACTGCTTTGCTCAAAACAGCAGTTACATGGAAGGGATCAGCAGTCTCACCTATAGTGCTCTGCAATTATATTAATGTTCGTTGATCTACACATCTACTTTTAATTGAAGTCACAATTTTAAAATGTCATGTGGTGGACAACAATAAACACATTTTCAGGGGCAAAAATATCGGTCTGCTGGCACAGCCAAACTTGCTGTTAAATTGTAAAGTTTTGTACACAATGTAACATACCTCTCGTTTTACACATTAGTCCAAAGCTACAAGATCCTCTGATTTATTGCTGTTCTATTGTGCCATGTAAGAGTTGGCAAAATATTTAGTTGGAATTTCTTGTCATGATAGAAAAATGAAAAATGGTTTTCAATAAAAGTTTTAAAAGTGCCTCATATTACATATTGTATTCAGGACTTTCACTCAAAAAAAATGTAAAAAAAATTCAATGTAACCAACTGCTTCAGATATTTGGTAGGAAAAAAAGTTGTGGAAGAAAAAAAGCAAAACCACGAAGAACGAGGAGCGAGCAGACAGGTCAGAGATGTAGCTGTGCAGATGTCTAAAGCGGGGTTCAATTATAAAATAATATCTCGAGTTCTGGGAACATCACAGTTTATCTTCTGAAAATCAAAAGACGATGGCACTGATACAAACATATTAAAACATGGCTCCTGACCTAAACTGGCAAGATCGCCAAGGAGCTGATTAAGCCGAGAATCAGCCAAGAGAGTCGTGGTAACTCTAGAGGGGCTGGAGCGGTTTGCCACAAGCCATGTTAGGGGATACAGCAAAGATGTGAAAGACCTTGCATTAGCCAAATGAGGCCAATTTAGAAAATCTCCGCCCAAATCTTTTGATTTTCGAACAGCATGTGTGGTGGAAAACTAAAACTGATTCTGCCATGGTGATGCTTTTTTTCCAAGATAAGGAACATGATCAGAATAGATTGTAAGATTGATGGACATAAACAAATGGCAACATTAGATGAAAAGTTATAAAAATTAGGAAGCTCAAAAATATTCAGTATAAACATTTGAGAAATACCCAAAAGAGCTGGTTTTCAATAAATTCAACTGGAGGGTGCTGAAAAATGAATGCTCCTCGCTCTCTTCAGTCTTTTGTCAAAAGATTTGAAAACGGTCCAGAATGCTCCTTCCACTTCCCAAGCATCTGCTAATTTGTGTTGTTCTACAGCATAAAATCCACAAAAGCATCTGGTTATAAAAATATGAAAAAGTTCAAACAGTGCTAATACTTTTGCAGGACAGTACTAGTCACAGTACTAGTCCCTCCACTGTCGCAACTGGTGAACATACATGAGCGCGCTCCTCCCAAAACACTGCTAAGCTTTGGAAAATGAATTTGCCTGATGATGGAGAGGATACATTATCTGGTGGTACAGTAGAGTGCGTGTGGCCCGGGTACACTATAGCTGCCTCCAGCCCTCAAAGTAGGAGCGGCGGTCTCCTGGGTCCTGGTAGGAGAATGGGCTGAAGCTGCGGTCTAATTCATCACAACTTCGCAGGAAACAAGCAATCGCAGGGAGGCTTCTGGAAAAAAAAAAAAAAAAGAAAGAAAGAAAAGAAATAGAGGAAACCTTAGCAAAAGACACAACAAGTCTCACTGGGCCGAGGAAATTCCCCAGGTCGCCATTGTTGTTAACTGTCAGCGTCCTCCATCGCTTAAACGCTCAGACAGAAGTGATATAGAGAAGACAAAAGAGCATAGGAAATAAAAAAAAAAAGAAGAGTCATAAGAAGCGAATAATAAAAGTAACCCTATGCGCTGTATTTACCGGCACCTCAGCTTATTTACAGGTTCATTTCAGCGTGTGTGGATGTGATTGTTTAGTTGCCGCGAACTGCCGCTCACAGCGGGGGGCCTTGCTGAGGTACCGGCTCGTGGGGATATGACAAGCTGCTGAAGGGTTTCCGTGACAACCTGGGTTGTCTGTCCAATCAGGGTGTGAGGGCTTCCAGATTGAGAAGTGGTCCTCTGGGGAGCTGTTCCTCAGCTGGCTCGAAATGCTTCGCCACGGAGAACATCCTTTAGAGGGAGGCCATCACAAAGTGAGAATCCGCTCCAAATGGGTACTTTGACATTCCCCGGCATAATTGGAAGCACTTTCTAAACCGAGGGGTTCTTTTAAAAATGCATTGAACAGCAGAGAACAGGATGCTTGCAATTTTGATTCCACTCATGAACCTCTCTGCAGCAGCCTGTCAGGCTCGTACTATGTATGTTACGGCCGACCCATTTGTCAAACTGCCAACTTTTTTATTGTATTTTATTGTGTATGTATAAAAGTAAGAGGCATATTTGAGTATAAGCTACCTACTCATTCAAGCAAATCTCCTTCTGTAATCTGCCTCTATCTACACCACATTGGTTTCCTTTTTTTTTTCCCCACTCTATTTTTTTGGTTGATTTTTTTCTTTTTTTCTTTTTTCTTTTTTTTTTTTTTGCTCTGAAGTTGCATAGTGGTTTCATCATCCTGAGCAATAGGAGCCAGCGGGGTATCGCGCAAACACAACAGACAGGCTCATTTTTCACAGGTTGACTTCCGAGCTATTCTGCAGGATGTGTCACGACAAACGGCGGATATGTGACAGACTCACGTCGCACCCGTGTCCTTGCATTAGAGAGAGGAGGCACTATATCATGTGTGTGTGTATGTGTGTTTGTGACTGTGCACACCTGGATCCAGTGTCTCTTTGTTCTTAGTTGTTTTTGTTGTTGTTGTTTTTTTAGTACCAAATAAGCCCACAGGAATTGTTTGCTCCTCAACGCGGTAACGCTGAACCTCATTCCCAGCAGGCCTGAGCTCTCCGCCAGCCAACATCACCACCTCCGCCGTCCCCAGCATCGTCACTCCCATCGTCAACGGATTCACCGGCATCCCTCATCAGCCCAACGGGCACCCTGCTGTGGAGACGGTGTACACCAATGGCCTGCCGCCCTACTCCACCCAGAGCCCCACCGCCGCCGACACCCTGCAGCAAGCTTTCACTGGCGTTCAGCAATACACAGGTGGGCCACGACGAGTCTTCTGCCGCTGCTCGATCTCACCTGCTCACAAATGCCAGCCGTGTTATCAGCTACGCGTTAATTACCACAGGGTGTTTACAGCGCATCAGAACATCAGAGCGCCTTTGATTGGACACGTCACGCCTGTATGGTCGACCTTAAGCATCCTTGACACCGTCCTCTGCAGGATCCCCTCGTTTTTTACACCACCCCTCTCTTCATTTCTCTGCGCCTTCTTTCCGCAGCAATCTACCCAGCCACCACGCTGACTCCCATCGGCCAAACACTGCCCCAGCCGCCCCAGGTCATCCAGCAGCAGCAGCAGAGAGAAGGTGAGGGTGAGACAACGTTATTACTTTCACACTTCACCCATCCCATCCTCCTGTAATGGATATAAAAAGCAGAGATGAGCATGAGAGACCAATATTGCTTTTACAGTGTACACATCTCAATTCTGTGGAATGGGTAAATAGAGTGGAAAGGTTGAGGAAACAATATTACATTTCACACCTAATCTGAGGTAACTTATACATTATATACACCATAAAAATACAGTATAGCTAGACAGAAAGCAGTGATAATGCAACTGTATTAAATTTTCTGGTTTTATGATCAACATAGTCATATGTTTTTTTTTTCTTTCTTTTTTATAAGTAACAATAAAATCCATTGTAATAAACCTGTAAGAAGCATGCTGCTGCAGCCAAGGGGGACAAGAGTTATGAAAATGTAGAAATGGGAAAACTGGGGCACCTTTCATAAAAATATTTAAAGTGGATCATGGTGATTTTTTTTTTCTTTTCTATGTTTTTTTTTTTTTACTCACACCTGCTGCACAAGTTTAAGTGGAGGAGAAAAAAAGAAAAACAGTCTGGAAATTCTGGAGATATTGCTAAAGAGTATCATATAGGCTAAGTTAGAAAAGTATTACATGAATTACAAAAGTGTAAGAAATAGTAGTAAGGAGAATGTTTTTATTTTTTTTGTATTCCCATTGTCATTGTCAAAATGTTCCATCCATTGATTAATCCATCCATATCTATGACTAACTTCCAAAACTATTACTAGAAATTCATAGACATGTTTTGTATAATACAACAATAAACCTTTTGTCAGCATGTTGAGAGGTAGATGTTGTAAGTTTTATCTTTGATTATTGGTAATTTACTCAACAAGTCTTTGAGTTACAGTTTGAGTAGCAAAGAATGGAGGAACGTGTACATAAAGCAAACCTATTCTGTAGAACTGTTTTAATATAAGTACCAGTCTTAAATAAAATGCTATAGACCACTGAAGAGATAATTGAGATAATTAAGTAGATAATTGTCATATAATTTTGGTGAGACTGGAGAAATGAAATTGACATGCGTTCCTCTTTTTGTCTGCTCAGGTCCAGAGGGGTGTAATCTCTTCATCTACCACCTGCCGCAGGAGTTTGGAGACAATGAACTCATGCAGATGTTTTTGCCCTTTGGTACAGTCATCTCTTCTAAGGTCTTCATGGACCGGGCAACCAACCAGAGCAAGTGCTTTGGTGAGTTACAAACGACATGTACAGATCCATTCACACTTGGTAAATACATGTATAAATTCCTAAAATAAAGCCTCTTTTATTGCACTTAGATGAACTCATGTTTAAAAGCTGTGCGTAATCCAACCTTTAATTTCAGAGAATTTAGTTTTTTTTGTTTTGTTTTGTTTTGTCAGATTTTACCTATGATTCCCAGTTTGGAAATATCTGCACTACAAATATCTGTCTGTGTGAGTGCTGGAGTGACAAATCCAACCCAACCTCAATAGAAGTCAATTAAACATGTTGGAATATTTGAGCTGAATTTTGACACAGTCAGGTAGTGTGAACTGAATTGCTGACTTGATTGTGTTGCCAACTCAGCAACAAAGGAAGGATGAGACACCGAATGTTGTTTTCAGAGCAAGACTCTCATCCATTTTTGTCTACGTCTTCCTCATCTTCTTCTCTGGGATTTCTCCCACTGAGCTCAGTTTTTTTTAAATAAATTTCAATCAAGTCAATCAGTGACTAGAAGGAGGAGCATCATGTACTATTGGAAACATAATTATTTTTTAAAAAATTCTGATCCATTTGAACTTTATTAGTTAAGTGTAAATTCCGGCAGGAGAACTATAATAAATGGGTATATCAACACAAAAATATTTTTTTGTTTTCCCTGACTTGAATTTCATGGAGAAAAAAAACTGGTGGGATGAGCTAAGAAGTGTCAACAAGTTGTTTTTTTGTTGAGCTAAATAATTATGATCATTGTCTTTTATGCATGTCTCTTATGCCGTTTACTGAATATCTAATTTGAAAACATTAAAACATTTAAGATGCTCTTTTCCACAACCTATTCTGGCTGTGACAGCATTTGACAGCCCACAGACTGCGAGGATTGATCTTCGCCCAGACAAACCGACTGGAATTTGCATCTTGATGACTGCTTGTGCTTTGGCATGAGGACTGAGGAAAAGATGCTCCGAGTGCATTGTTTCCAAACTGGCCTGGATGCAGTCGATCAGAGTCAATGTCCTTGTTTCGTTTTGGCAGATGACTGACCCGGAAACCTCCAGGCACTGTCAGCATCTTCGTAACTGTTCTGTAACCCCTCGTTTCTGTCAATACCTGCAACTGCCGAGGCCGAACCACACACCTCCACGCTTCAAGTCGTCGTTTAACTTCAGCAGACTAACTTCACCTTACAGGCATCTGAAGAGCTTGACGGTGACGCTTCAGGGGCAGAGCGGATCGGTGGTGATTGTGGAGCAGCAATTGTTTTTACTCAAAGGGAACTGCAGAAGCCCAATGAAGTGTCCCTAGTGCTGAATGCTTTTGCTTGAGTGAGAGGCTTAATATTAGATACTCCTGAAAGAAGATCTGTTTGCAGTAATGACGAGCCGCTACAATAGACATTCACATCAACGCGGCGGCACTTTGGTACAATTAATCTATAAATGAGGAAGAGAGAATTCTGTTAAATTGATGAGACTCGCCATCAAAACATGTAGTCTTAGATGAGACTATGGGGTCTGTGCCAGCTTTCACCACCCTGAATGTGTTTAGTTGCTGGTGGCATGTAAGAGGTCACATCCTTTTACTGCCGCTGTTCTTTTTTCAGACTTTCACGTTGGCCTCGTCTTCTCTGCCAAGCTTTCACCCCTAATGGGCCGAACCAGATCCAGGAAGGCCAGCTACAGTCTCTCCCAGGTGGCTGTGGACGCGCACAGGCCCCTGTTGTTTTTTTTCACGGGTCATTAACTGTACCTAATGGCACCGCAGACACAAGGGAGAACATCAAGTGGAGACACACTCTGCTGCAGTTTCTGGTCCCTGAAATCTGAAGGCTTAGTTTTTCTACTTGATGGAAACAGAATATTCAGCGTAGGTTTGAGGAGTGGGGAGTTTTGGAGGAAGATGTGCTGATGGGTTTGCGTCTGCCTCGAAACTTGCCAGTTTGTTTTTGCTTACATTGAACTTTTATTTTAACGTTACATGCTATACTTGATGGCTGAGTTTAAAATAAGTTGCTCTGCAAACGTACATACCTTTGGAGCTATTGAGGTTTGTAACATTATAACCACACACTTTGTAAATTGGGATTTCATGTCAAACACAAAGTAGTGATTACTTTTGAAGAGGGTCGGAAGTGGCAAAGGGTTAAAATATTCATATGTTTGTATTCTGGGCCCCAGTTCAGTATGTCGTTGAACAACAAAATCTTGCTGCCTTGTTGCCAGATGGTGTAATAATACCCAACCAGCGTCGCACATCTAAAAACTGAAACGTTTTTTATTTTTCAAAATGGTGAAAACTCAGTCACACATCTCACAATTAAAAAATAGATCTGGACTTTGACTGTGTCATTCTAATACACTACTATGCCATAGTCTGAACCACTTCCTTGTAGTTCTGATTGTATTCTTCTGGTTGTTTTCATGCTGGGAGGTCAAGCTCAAGTCATTTGCAGCTTCTGACAAGTTTTCTTCCAGAAAACAAGTGTCTTGTCCCTGTTTAGATAAAGCATCATATAATCTTATGGGTTGGTCAAAATTATTATTATTTTTATTCACATCAGAGCACCGTCTTCCACATATATATTTTTTGTGTTTCCCTTTACTGATATACTTCACTTTGCTTTCATCCAATATGTAGTTTAAAATGTCGACATTTGTTACTGTAATGTGATATAAAGTAGAAACATGCCCAATAAATCCTATAAATTCAAAGCATCGTGGTCACTAAGGTTTGTAATATTAAACACGTTTGCTAAACCTATTAGCTGGTAATTATTTTTTATTTTCCAATTTTCAAATCTACTCATTAATGGGACTTTTTTTTCTTTGCAAGAATTAGTAATCTGATGTTTTGTTTTATTATTTAACTGAAATAGGCTGTTGCTTTTCATAGTCTACAACATGTGCCTCAAAAACCACGGAGCAGCTTAATATTACATGTCTTCTGTACAAAGGAATGTGATGTGTTTTGGCAGCAACAGCTCCAAACATGTCCCAACAGCTCTTTCTTTCGCATACTTACTTTTCTGGCTAAAAGCGTATTTTGGGCATCATCCTGACACTTTCTTCTTGTAAGTTTAATCAATTTGATCTGTTTCCTAACAGGTTTTGTCAGCTTTGACAACCCTGCTAGCGCACAGGCAGCTATTCAGGCCATGAACGGCTTTCAAATCGGGATGAAGAGGTTGAAAGTCCAGCTAAAGAGACCGAAGGATGCCAGCCGCCCTTACTGACACAGCCTACCTTCAGTATTCACTGCAGCAGCACAGGTAAGCCCTGAAAATGGTGGGAACTTTTTGTGTTCACAAAAGTAAGTTTCAAGCTTCTTCTTCTTCTTCAGAAGAGCTGCGATTGGTTTCTGTAAATATATTTAATAAAACAGTTTATTATGTAATGACAATATGTAATTGTTTCAAAATACTGCAAAACTCAAAGGTTTATGAATACAAAGCGAAGGACACATTCACTCCTGACACATTTTGTCTGCTTTAAAAAGACCAGGGTTAATTTTGTCCATTGGCCTGCATCTTTATTGCAGGTGTGAATACTCTTAAAGGAGAGACATTATATAAAATGTACTTTATGTCATAAAACTGCGCTCTATCCCGCCACCATGATTTCTGTACAATGGGCTGGATTTGTTTACAAATTATAGCAAACTGCACAAAGAGCAAAAAAAAAACAAATAAAATCTGCTTTTGTTCCACACTAAACAACCCAAAGTCTTTCCTGGTGTGAATACACCTTGAGACCTGACCATCAACACCCATGTACCTTTAAACAGTGGCCTAGCACTCTTAAATTGTAAATAATGCATGTACAAAAGAAGAAAAAGAAGAGAAGCAAAGTCCTTTCAGGAATTCCTTTCCCCAGTTTGTCATGTAAATAAAAAATGACATTTAAAAGGAGTCCTACAGGTCAATCAAAGGTCAGGGAAACTTTCCAAGGGAAACGTAATGTTCTGCTATGCGACTGAAGCCTGACAAAGTGTGAATCGGGAGTAGAATGTCAAAATGACCCATCTAAAGAAGCTTTACAGAATCTGAACTGATGAGTAAAAATAGAACCTACAGTCTTCACTAAGCACAGATACGTGCGCAGAATTTTTTTCATCATTACAAATCCTTAACTTTCTTGCACAAAGGGGATAAAACATGCTTGGGCGGTGATGTACCAAAGAAATGAGGAACATTTGACTGACAGATGAGCCAAGGAAATATAACTTCATCTTGTAATATTAGAAGAAAAAAGAAAGAGGAAAGCTCATTGTTTCGAAACAACGGCCCTCTATGAATCCTATAATTGTGCATCATGAATAAGAGAAAAGAAAATTAGATATAGGTTCTTAAATATTTTACAAATAATCAAAAAAGTGGTCTGCATTTATGTTTAGACACCAGAGAAAATGATTAGTAGCTACTAAAACTGTTACCAATTCTTTATTGCAATAGATTCAGATTGATTTTCAATTGTATCTCAAACAAAGCAGGAACTTTACTTAATTGGGCGAGCAAAGCTGCGTAGACAGCAATTTTCATGTTTAGCCACAAATTCTCCATTCAGCTTGATTTCAACAAGGCTGTTACAAAACAAAACTTTTTTTTTGTCATCTAAACATCAAAATATTGCTGTTTTATGGTCTGGTAGAAAGTTGAACTTCTTCCCAGGTCTTTACCAGGATTTCTTCCCTGTCCCTGATGGGGGAAAAAAAAACACAGAATGATACGGCCATCATCATGTTGCACCACCAGTTATGTCAGCACAGATTTAATCACACTCTTTTAAATAATTAAGCCTGGTTCACACGGCAAGATAATTAGGCTGATGTTTGACTCAGTTTTCTCCTTCCTAATATCTAAAGGACACTCCGATTATTGTGATGGCTCTAAAGATAATGTTATGAGATGTTCCTACCGTGTGCGATGTGTTAGGGGTGATCTAGTCTGCTTGGAAGGACATCAGTAGCGCTTTGACCTCAAATCTGGGATATTTAACCTGTAGGATTATCTCGGCCTGATATCCCAGCGTGTGGGGTGTTCCCTGAGGGCAAACGAGCATGCAGCCTGCTATCTGTGAAGTGTTTCCAATCAGAGAGCAAAGTGATGGAAACACAGAGGAAAGTCCGCACCTTCTGCCAGAGCAGAAAGTCAAGTTGGAGTTGCAGACATCTTTTTGTATACTTTCCCTGTTGTCTGTGGTCTCTCAGGTTTTGAAAATCAACCGACAATTTTAAAATCTTACCATGTGAACCAGGCGTTGGGTGACTTCTGAAGGCAATTGGTTGCTTTGACTGAAATTGCATGCTGCAATCTTCAAATATATAGTGATAATACACTTTGAAAGCTGTCCGTTAATTTCATTCCACTTTGAAATTTTCACCCCGCCCCCCAACACACACGCACATATGCACATGCGGTACAACCTTATGTTGGAAGGAAACAATTAGGAACATTTTGAAGGACATGAGCATTATGCAAACAATTAAATGGAAAATGAATGCATTTCTTTTTGCTTCAAGATATTTAAAGTCAGGGGACATTTTGGCAATGTGGGTCCTGTGATTTTGTCCTATCATGTTAAATTTAACGTGTATTGTCAGTAAATATAAGGCTAAGCGTAGAATGTGCAAAAAACACAGAGTCCAAGTGGTTGATTTTATTATGGGGCACATCTTGGGCATACTAATTGTGGGAAAAATCTGTCATCATTGTGATTGACAAAGACGGATTCAGTGTCATGGTCTCTTCAGACCATTGCACTGATATAATGGAGCCATACTGAAATATCCAAAGTTTAAAGAAATGGATCTTTGGATTGACAGTTTAATGAGCAGTGAAATTTAAAATCGCTCCTTTCTTCTTTTTTTCTTCTTCTTCTTTCTCTGTCTTTCTTTTTCTCACTTCTTTTCCCCCCCCCCAGAGTTTAGAGGACACACGTGAAGATATCTGGGAGGAGGTCAGCTTTTTTTCTTTGAGAGCAAGCATATGTTTTAAAAAAATCAACACGTGAGGAGTTTTGGGAGACATATCAACACTTATCAACACAAGAGGATACAAGTTAGAGCAGTAACAGGAGGTGTGGCAAAAGGAAGGAGGAAAAACACGGCGCTTCGATGGGGACTTAACAGCAACAGATGGCACAGAACAGCGAGAAGAAAGAAAAACTGGAAAAGAGACACGACGGGACTGAACAACAGAACTTTTTCTTGTTAAGACTTGAATTGTTAAGTAAGCAACAAACAAAAAAAGCAGCAACAACAAATAGATTTCTATATACATATTATATACACACATATATATATATATAAATATATATATATAAGGAACAAAGAGGCGCTTGTGGCTTTTACTGGACAAATGAGGGTTAAAACTTGAAGATTAAAAAAAAATACAGTGGATAAAAGAACCAATTCTACACGTCCACTGACAGACTTTCTTTCTCTTTCCCTCTTTCTCTTATTCTCTCACCGTCTCTCAGCAAGCGCAGAACTATGACTCTTGGAGGTCACTGAGGTTTCCAATAGCAAAAGTAGAACTGCAATTCTTTCACCCCTAAGGGACCAAAGGACCAAACATTTTTATTGTTCTGAACAGCGATATATATAGTATTAATGATACTAATACTACAAACTACTACTAATAATATTACAAGTTAAACTTAAGAAGAAATACTAGCTTCAGGTTGAAAAAAAAAAAAAAAAAAGAACAAGGGTTTTGTTTTTGTTTTTTATGGTTTCCTTTTACCTTTATAGCTACCGGGTTGGAGAATAATAAAAGCAAAAACAAAAAATGTATAAAAAAAGTAAATAAATGAAGCTGTACTATTTTAGCAGTATAGAAGATATGGGTTAGGCATTGTGTCGGGCATGTTCAGATATGTTTATTTATTCTTTTTTTTTTTCCTGATACATCAGCATTCCCAGCATTTCATCTCAGAAGCGTGATCTTTGTGTTTTTTAGTCACGTTTTGTATCAAAAAAGGGAAATAAAAGCGTTAAAAAATATATAAGCAAAGGAAGGACAAAAAAAAAACCTCAAACAGGACCACAAACACCGACCTCCGTTCAATTCGAAACCCTCGATCTTCACCGCAAATCATTCCCTGGCATTAGTAAATGCCTTGACAGGGCAGATGATCTGACCATGAACCACTGTGGCGAAAGTGCCACCTGTTGGGTCGCTCCTGGGTCGAGCCCTCGCCCACCGCCAAGCCGCTCCAGCTGCTTCCAGCAGGTGAGAGCAGAAACGCCCGCCGTCCCATCACTTTTCCTCCTTCACGTCAAAGTGCCAGTGTTACTGTCTATTAACAGGGATCATCAGTGGATGAGGGAGCCCTGAAACTAAACCAGGACATAATTACGATAATGATAATATTGATCAGATGGAAGCGGCACTGCAGGGCCAGAGACGCACAATCGATTGTCACATTGGCATTTCGAAGAAGCTGACTGAGTGACAGAGCTGATCTGACTCCCCCTGGAGTCTTTTTGTCTCCCTTCATAGAGCACTTGCAAAAGTGTTCACACTTGTCTTAACATGTTTTTCATGTTTTAGCATTGAAACATGCTAAAACACAGTCGGGATGTCAAGTGAAAGCTTAATGCCCAAACTACCACAAACTTGACCTTAGAATGGGCCATTCTAACATTTTTATCAAAATAATTATTTTCTTGCTATAGCTGTATATTTGATGATGTTCCAGGTTTTCTTGTAGATTGGAGACTGAATTTAAAGACACCGATGCTGTTTTTCTTTTGTTTTGTTTTGTTCTGTTTTTTTAGGTATCTGTGTATTACAATTGCACAGTTAGAGCTCATACACAGTGCAAGGCAGCTTGGCAGTGACTGCAGGTCAAATTCAGACCAAAATGATCCATCAATTAGAAAGCAGGAGGCCTAGAAGTGTTGCTGCTGTTTCAGAAGGACAGTTTACCGTCAGCGATGGTAAACTGTCAGCCACGGCATGCTCTAAACACGCGATTAATCAACTAAACCAGAGTCATCCTGATCAGTTGATCTGAGATGAAATCTTTCTCTTCAAAGGCTTCTTTTCGACTGATTCACTCTCCTCTTCTTAGTGAGGCTTTCTCTCTCTCTTTTTTTTTTTCTTAAATGCCATTCCATGACTCAGTTTGCTCTTTGAAGCCTTTTGCCCCCTCAGGACTCACTGAGATTTCAGCGCTTTCATCGACGTTCCAAACTTTAGGCACATCAGCACTCTGGACACTGCACCGCAGCACTCGTCCTGCAGAGACTTCAGACAAAAAAAAAAAAAAAACAAGAGACAACTTTGCCTCTGTGGTTTGGTTACAACAAAAACGTTTCCACCAGAGCGACTCGCCAGATCCTGACGACTGTATAGTTTGATTACTTTTGGCTCAGCTGCTCTTTATCCTCATGTGATTCCTGCTTCACTGGATCAGAGTTATTATTATTATAAGAAAGAGGGAGCAGGAATCTCAGAAGGACTCACAGCTGTTCATTGTACATTGCGCTCCTGCCGGCAGTGTTTAGATGCTGTGCGAAGGTGTTTTGTTACATATGCCTTTTCTCATCATGAATTGCCAAATTATGCAAGCATATCCATTGCAGTTCCTCATCAGATTTTAAATATGTGCCAGATTTTCTTCAAACGTAGACTTATAAATATACTTATTTTAGAAAACTCTTTAGCAGATTGAAATATTTGATTTTGTGATATAGGATACCACTGTCGGAGAAGGGTCGGCTCCCTCTGAAATGATATACGATATAGATTTCCTGTGAAAAGGTTAGATTTCTTATATATTTGCCAGAAGACAGCTCCTTTCCCTCGGCGAGTAAATGTGAGTTTCTATGCTCGCTGTCAGGGCGAAGCAGCTTTAGGAAGCTGTGATATATGCCCTGCTTCCTCTAGGCCATCCAGAGCCTTATAAACCCCTGTCAAAATATATCTTTCTCATGGGATTTCTCCTCAAGAGGGTTTTTTTTTTAATTATTAAAATCAAATTAGATTTTGCCTGGAAAACAGCTTTAGAAAAGCAAATTAAAGATGACAGGTGGAGCTGAAATGCAATGCTTTTGAATTATGTTAAGTTCTTTGATGCCACGCTTAGAAGAAAAAAGGAAATAAAAACATATTTAGAAAAAAACAAAGAATGATTAATTCACAATGTGAGAAACAAATATTGCCAGAGTTTGGCCCCTTGAGATAAGAGCAGGTGCAGTCAGTGCGCACAGTGCTTACTGTGAGTTTGAGGAAAGTTGAAGTCGTCAAAATCTATGAACGGCTTATAAAAAGGGAACTGGCAGTAGTGATTTCTATAGTTTTCTAATTAGGTTGCATGTGATTGATCTAAAATTGATCTCTTACATACTTTTCACTCTTGCATCCATTGTTTTTGAAATCATTTCTTCTGTTAATATTTATCATGCTACCATGGTGCCCTTTTTTTTTAATCTTCTGAGCATGCTCAATAGGGGCCGGGAGGGATGAAGATTATGAATATGGTATTGCTCGTATTAACAATATGATTCTTTACCTATTGTTTGAATGCTAAGGATAGTAGCTTATTATAAATATGAAATCTTGTATAATATGAAAAATCAGCACAGGACCCTTTTTCTTTGGGTTACGTAGAGTTTAGGGGGTTCAGACGGGGAGGGACAGGGAGGGGGCTCGCTTTATAAAAACGTTAACTTTCTGGTTTCTCAGCACAAAGACAGAGAAGCAGCAGTAAGATGAATCTCAGAACCAGTCTTTAAACCGGAAGGATACAAATGCTGTTTACAGGTAGAACTTGTTTTTCTTTTAGTTTTTTCCTTTTTTTTTTTCTTCTTTTTCATTTTTTTTTTTAAGAAGAGCGCCATCTGTTTGTGTGGCAGCATCAGTACAGCATGGATTAACTGACAGGGAAAGCAGTATCTTTTTATAATAAAAAAAATTAAAAGAATAATGAATAAAAAAAAAGTGTTCTGTATTAGCCTGAGAAACCAAACTTTTTTCCCCTGTTAAAATTTCTTAATACTTGCTGCTTAGATTACTTCATATTAATAATTGATGATTTAATAATTTTATAATTAATTACCTGGTCAAGTGTGTAACTTGATGTTTATTTATCAATTTATTTATTTATTTATTTGCTACTTATTTAATTTATTTATTAATTTGTCACTTTATTTATTTTATGGTTATGGTAAGATAAAGATATGTGTCAAAAAGAAATGGTTATTGGAACTTTTTCTCTTGTTCTCTCCTTTTTTTCCAATTTTACAATAAAAAAATTAAACTGGGGTGGTTTTGTTTCTTATGGTTCATTTGGACCGAGCAGAGCCACACTCGGCAGACAGGGGGCGTCGTTGCACAAGGAATTGCTCCCTCACCCCACCCAGCATCTCAAGGACCTTGAAAGTTCAGGGAACGCAGATGCTGCAGCCTCCTCGGGCTCCTCACCTCAGAGCATGTCACTCACACCCTGCCCATGTTTAGTGCTGCAGATGTTATACGTGTGCAATAGCCCCTTAAACAACACTGCAGCCACATCATTTTTTAATGTGTTATTTTTTTTATATGTTTTATGATGGAGATAGTTTAAAAACCAGGCATCTCAGAAGGAGTCAACTGTGGGGCTCCTCATAAAAAGCCAGAGTGCTGAAATCGCAGCCATTTAATGTTCATTTAAAGCTCAGTCGTGTAGTATGTGAGAAGACTTTCTTCACTGTGTCAAGATGGAGACTGAATGCTTTTGGGGGGCTGGAGCATGTGTAAGAAGGAATGGATTTAAAACTTGCATCAGGCAAATATTATCGAGGAAGTGTCACAGGAAGGGATGAAGTTCTTAATCTGCGAGATTAAGAAAATAAGATAACGTATATCCATCCAAATATAAAAAGCAGGGCATAAGTTGTCGTAAGGAGGACAGCGGGTATCTGTCAACCGCGTGCACTGCCTGGATGCCAGGAGCTAAATTTGATGCAACATCTGTTGACAGCTGAATTGCCCCTCCAAACACATCTTGTAATCATCATCCTCCTACATGAGGAGTCGCTGTAACAAAAGCGGCAGCTGAGACACAAGATTCATAATTTGTTTGAGGAGCGGCTTCAAATGGGGAAGAAGAAAAAAAAAAGCTGTAAAAAAAAAAAAAAAAAAGTAGAGCCACTGGCTCATGAAATAAATTGTCCCAATTACAATAAAGTGTGGCTCTTGGTCAGTGTGAGCGGCAGGCAGTTCATCTTTATTACAATCAGTTAATGAAAATCAATCCCCCTCCTGATAAACTCTTATCTCCACGGCCTTTGCGCAGCCCCCGTGCCTGGGAGATAATAAATTAGGGTAATATTGCCTTTGATGAGGGAGTGAATTGCAAATTATTGTAACTTTCCAAGATTTATGATGCAGATGCTTAATTTCCGAGACGAGTTTTTTTCAGGGCGTCAGGGTGCAAGGGGGCCATTTGTTAAAAGTTTGGTGACTTGTGCTCGTTAATAAAAATACACACTCAGACAGCCAGGTGTTCTCAGCTGTTTCCCGGCTGATGCAGCTCACGAGAAAAAAAAAAAAAAACGTTAAATACAGTAAATCCACACTCCAGTTTTGCAGATGTACAGTTCCTTGCTAAAGTATTAATTCCCCTTGAACGTTTTAGCGTTTTGTCAAGCACAAACTTCAATGCATCATTTGGATTTTATGAGACATGAATGCACAAGGTACCATATCATTTTGAAGTGGGCGGAAAATTTTAAATCTT